TCTCAAGACATTACAAAACAACGTGGCACAAGACGACTCAGGGAAGCGACAAAAAGAGAAAGGAGAGACTGTTCAGGCACGTTGCATTTCGGTCTCTATTGACTCCTACTCTTCCTACATCTCTTTCTCCCTCTTCTTCTTTTTCTTCAACCTCTTCTTTGTAAAAAAAAAATATATAGTACCGACCCAGCTGGAAGGAAATGATGGAAAAACGAAAGAGAAAATAGAAAAAAAAAGATAAAAGGAAAGGCAAGGGAAAGGAAAAAAACGACAGAAAACGGATCCACTCAAGACAATATCAGAGAGAGAGAGAGAGAGAGAAGAGAGAGACTGAGAGAGAGGAGAAGAGAAGAGAAGAGAGAGAGAGAGAGAGAGAGAGAGAGAGAGAGAGAGAGAGAGAGAGAGAGATGAGAGAGAGAGAGAGGAGAAGAGAGAGAGAGAGAAAGAGAGAGAACGCATCGGAAGGGCGCCCGAATCATAGTCCTCAAAATCCCTGCTTGAAAACGGGACAAGCTCCGCGTGTCCCTTGTTTCCCGCGCCTCCCGGAGCGCCGAGTGCTCTCCTCACGACGGCGCCTCCGAACCGGGGGAGGCGGCGGCCCCTAATCGCTTTGCATGATGTGCACTATTTCAGCCTTTTTCTCCCTTTCTTATTCGATCTCGTCTTGTCTTGTCTTATTCATATTCGTCCCCACCTCCCTTCTACAGTTTCGCTCTCACCCGCGCGCATTTGCAAGAACATACACACGCGCGCGCGCACGCACGCACAAACACGCGATCGCGCGCTTTCGCAAACATGCAGATACAGACAGGCAGAAAGTTTCGTGTTGTCCATCTGATAGTTAACTGACTGATTGCTGACTGAACGACACTGTTTCAGTCTCTCCCTCTCTTCCTTCATATTACCTCTCTCTCTCCCTTTCTCTCCCTATCTCCCTTTCTCTCTCTCTATCTTCGTTTCTCCCTCTCTCTCTCTATCTCCCCTTTCTCTCTCTTTATCTCCCCCCCTCTCTCTCTATCCCACCCCTCTCTCTCTCAATCTCCCTCCCTCTCTCTATCTTCCTCCCTACCTCTCTCATCCTCCCTCCCTTTCTCTCTCACCCTCCCTCTCTTTCTCACCCTACCTCCCCCTCCCTCTCACATCCCTTGTCGTTCACACCCTTCCCTCGTGCTGGCCAACACCAGTCTGCTTTCCTGTCCCCTTTCCTCCTCTGATATAGCTGTAGGGCCATCGCGTCCATAACTAGCGAGGGGCCACACCTGTACAAACACTCGTCTCGTTATCGTGGCCATAAATTCCCTGCTGCGACATTAGCATAACTCCCGCGCAGCCTCGTCGTCGCCGCGTCACAAGGTGTAGCCGTAGCAGCCGCCGCTCGATTTAAGCGTATCTGTATAGCGGTATCATAACGGCCTTTTACTGTTCCTTTGGAAAAGTAAACAATAGACGCAGACGGCGTTACTAGGTTTCATGTAAGAAAACCCCTCACCAAAGTTATTAAAACTTTCATGTAAGTATAAAGTCAATAAATCTCACCTGAGTTATTAAATAAGTTTCATGCAAAACTGAACCCAACACATATCAGTATATCCCTCCGTTTTATGCATGCTCAAAGCGGATACCTCTGCCTGCAAATAATTCCATCACCCGCAAGCAGGGTATGTCATGTCCCCTCTTAATGTCTTGTCTCCTCTTCCACGCCTTTTCCCCTCTGGTACGCCATCTCCCCTTTCCCACGCCCTTTCTCCTTTTCTACGCCTTGCTCCCTTTTCCCCTCTTCTACGCCTTGTCCCCTTTCCCTTCTTCTACGTTATGTCCCCTTTTCCACAGCCGAAACAGACCTCCATTGTAACTGCCCTGAAAGTCATATCATATACGCACAGATTCTTTTTTTCGATTGGATGTAAGGGAAAACCCACCCGGAAAGTTTTGACAAAAGATCATATCCTTTGCGAAAGATCCTTTTCTTTTGGGGAAGAGACGGAATACCCAAAATAGAGAGAGAGAGAGAGAGAGAGAGAGAGAGAGAGAGAGAGAGAGAGAGAGAGAGAGAGAGAGAGAGAGAGAGAGAGAGAGAGAGAGAGAGAGAGAGAGAGAGAAAGATAGCGGCTCGTGCAGACTCCCGACGTAGCTGTAATCAATATATATATATAGACAGATATTCCGCGCATTTCTCACGTCGAGGGCTTCATTGTATAAAGGAGCTGGCCAATATCTTAAAGAAATGAGGTCCGCA